AACCTCTGGAAAAAGCTGAAGTTAAAGATATAAATTTAGTAGGGATCTTCGAGGGTTGGCTGGGACCTACTTTTTATTTTCTCCCAAATGTTATTCCTTTCCTTCGGTACTTGACAAATACTTGCTAGTATCACTATTATTATGTTTGTTGAATTGCATGGTGAAAGAAGCAAAAAGGGTGGGGACTGAAACTTGCCTAAGACAGAGAGCTCAAGAGCACTTACACATCAGCTTGCGGCAGGATGGGTGTGAGTTGGGACAGCAGCTGTGGGCACTCACCATTCCAAGGTGGAGGCTTCCAGTGGGCCGTTTCCTTGGTCGGGTACATGACAGCTCCCCCAAACTGCTCTGCCCATTCCACATCTGGCTGCCATTGCCGAGCACCTCTGGGGAGTTAAAGATCCTGGATAAAGGGCCTGAACAGTTCTCCGTTCCCCTGTTCCCATTCACTCTCAGGTGGGCCCAGGGAAGGGCGTCTTGGATTCTTCAGGCCAAGTCAGTGACACAGAGTTAGTGTAGCTTTGGCAGAACAAGCTGGAACTCTAGAGGTTCCATTCCTACTAACTTATTCCTGGAACCTCTTCACCCATCATCCCCGGGCGTGCAAGGTTGCGAATCCTAGCTCCTTCAAATTCTCCTCTTATTCATATTTCCATCTGGTGAACATGAATGCGAGAAAGGTGTTTATTCAAGGTCAACCGAAGACTAAGAAAAGAAACGGGGTGGGGGTGTGGGGGTCATGCCGGCTCCCTGGCTCAGCTCAAGTCCCACCAGAGCATCAAGGGTGCTTTCCTCTTCCCCTACAGAGTCTAAGGACACTTTTCGCCAGTCGCACCCCAACCGTGATGGGGTTCGGGGCTTGGGAGAAGCAGCAGGGCATAAGGGCAAGGTGACACTATCACTAACATTGAGGAGTAGGGTCTCCTCCTAACTGATTTCACCCCTGGCAGAACGAGCTCAAGACCCTCTTTGCTCCCTCGGCCAGAGCGGGCGCCACTGCATCCTGGAGCTCGAGACAGCCGGCCTGGGCGAGGGGTCACAGGTCTGGGTCACTCTTTCCTAGGGGGTCAAAAGGCCCGTGGAGCCCCCAGACTCGAGAAACCCTAGCCTTGGGGACAGCGCGTCGAGGGCTGCCCTAGGTCTCACCTGCTGGGCTGAATCGGCAGTCGGCCCCCAGCCCCGGGCCGCAGCCCCTGGGCCGCGGCGCCCCGAAGGCTGCACAGAGCCCGCAGCGCCGCCATCTTACTCGCTTCAGACTGCGGGAAGGAGAATCGGGCGGAAGTGCCGCCTGCGCGCCTCCTTGTGGGCTTCTCGCCTATTGGCACAATGCAGCCGCCCTCTTGGAAGCTGGCAGGGTCGCCGACCGCGAACAGGACAACATCCGGGTTCTGCGCTGCGGCGTCACTTTCGCTTAAATACTGGTGGCCGAAGGCGGTTCTTCGCACCGCTTCTGACCGGCTTTGCTAAGTGGGAGCCAGAGACGCTCCAGCTCGGGCAGCGACGCCCCGCGCCCTGCCGCCGAGCCCGCCTGCGCGTACCTTAGAGAGGGCTCGGCGCTCGACCCCCCCCCCCCCCCCCCCGCCTGCCGCCCCCCGTCATAGCCCCGCTCTGCGGTTGTGTCCGAGGCCTGCTCTTCTAGGGTAGCTCCAGGCTTTGCCAGTTACCTCCCCGAACCCAAAAGATTGGGAGCAGGGAAAGCTAATTTCCAGATGGCTTAATGGGTTAAGGAAAAAGGCCCAAGTGGGGCTGGGCGGGTCTGAAAGCTCCCGCCAAACCAAAACGAAAAAGAGAGTAGGACGCCAAGGCCACCAGCATTAGAGCTGGCTGACCGGGTGTGTAGGGGCCACCTCGCCCCAGATGAGGAGAGGTCCCCTGTGGGTGACCCTGATACCCGCCAAGCTTCCACAGCCTACAGAAATACAGATCCAGGAAGTGCCCTTAGAAATGCCTCACACCCCAATTCTATCCTAGGTCAGTCTCTTTTCCCTCCAGTCTTTCTGACTAGGTCTCAATCCTGGCCAAAGGCGTAGAAATGTGGTAGCACCAGGAGTCTGATTCCAATTCTGTATGGAAGACAAAGAATTTTCCAGCCTTGGAAGCCAGTTCCTATTCTCTCCCTCTGCCTCCAAGCCCAGCTCCAGCTGGGCCACCCCTTGAGTTTGCACAGCCCTCCCACTCTGAGCCTGGAAAGAAGCCTTCCCCAGATCTCCCCCAGACAGGGTCCCTGGGACACAGCCCACCAGCAGTCCAGCAGGGTGGGGCAGACAAACCAGGAGAGTGGCAGAGGGGAATTCTTAGCTGCAGGGAAAGAGGGGAAAGCCAGACTTCTAGCCTGGGAGTTGACCTAATGGGAACCGTACCAAAGGGTGAGGCCATATCCCTGGCTGTGGGAACTGACGGGACCTGGGTAGACTGGGCAGCCCCCACAGAGCCTGGCAGAGGCTCTGCCTCCCTGCACCCCTCATCCCCCCTTCCCTGGGCCATCCCTCCCTCTGTATTTGGAACACAGTAAATGAGATGGTGGGGGAGGGCGATCAGGGGACTGCACTTATTTGCCCTAAGCCAGCCTGAGAGAAGTCCAGGATAGACTCTGTGCTGCTTGGCCCTGGGGGGCAGCTTGAGCTGGGACTGGGGTGAGGGCTCCTGGGGGGCTACCTAGGACACTGCATCTTTTGTGCCTTCTCCCTGCTGCCAACACCCCCACACACACTGCTGCTGCAATTCTGAGGCCTTTTGTCTCTCGCTGCTTAGTCACCCCCTTTGTCCTCAGCTCAGATGGGGGGGTGGAAAGGGGCAGTAAGAGTCCTCTGGTGATAGCTCCTCTTGCCCCTGCCCCTTCTGGTCTCCCATCCTTTGTCTGACTCCTGCAGCCCCAACCCCCTCCACTTAGGAGCAGGGTCAGGGCATGTGGTGGGTCAAGACATGGGTCTGGCAGGCACAAGGGGGTGGGTGATACAGGAAGCAATGGGCACCAGGGCGGATATTAATGACCTGAGCGGGAGGGGAGGGGAAAAGGAAGTATTCTGGTGGATATGATGTGGGGGACAGGAGGTGACAAGGCAGAGAATGACTAGAGGAATGGGGGCTGGGGCAGGTGATCGCCTCTGGGAAAGGAAAGGGACCGCTGACTGCACTCTCCTTCCTGGGGATATCCTGGGGAAAGGAGTGGCCAGAGCATGGGGTGAGCAGAAACCCCTACTTCTGAACGCCTTACTTCCTTGCCTTCATAGTCCACCCCCAAGACCTCTTTCCTGATTTCTCTGCACTCCGGAATCAAGGGAATCATTTTGCTTCTTTTCCCTAACACTACCTCTTCCTCCCCAGGTGCTCTCCCCACCCCAGGCACTGGGTTCCTGATTCTCTCAGTACTCTAATTTCTCTATATACACAATGCTGCCTCCACCCTCTCCTTGTCCCATGGGGAATGAGAAATAAAAGATTACTAGATATTCCAGGAACGATTGGGTTCTCAGGACAAGGTGGGGGCAGAAAAGGGAGCCAGGTGGGGATTCCCTCAGATGGATTGGCACTTGGTGTATCTGGGTTCCTGAGAAAGCCAGTCTTTCTGGGTGCTCAGGGCTGGCTGACTTGAGGCTGGAGGAGGGGTTAGGGCAGTTGGGAGTGGGTAGGAGCAGGGCCAAGAGCCTGGGGGAAGCTACTGGGAGCTGGGCCAGGGAAATGGGGAGTCAGGAAGTGGGGAGGGGGAGCCCAGGGGGGGAATGGAGGCGGAATGGCTGTTCAGGCTTTGGAGGGGACCGGTAGTGGTAACTCAGGAAGGGGAAGCCTGAGGGAGAGAAGAGACATTAGAGAAGAGGAGGTGCCATCCTGGATCCTCCTTCTATAAAAGGAAAAGTCATTAACCCCTCCTGCTTTATGCTCTGTCCTCTTCATGTGCCCATTCTAAGCCGATTCATCCTACCTTTGGGCAGTACTCCCTGATCACCATCTCCTTGCCTGTCCTGTCTCCCTGCCTCCTGTAGCTCTCCAACTGCTTGGACCCAACCTGAGCCATGTCAGGCCATCTCCTTTCTTTGTTCTGCCTTCTTGATGCTTTCTTACCTGTTTCCCCACTCTCTTTCCCCTGCAGCTCACTCAGTCGCCTCAGCATTGGAAACCAGCCTCTCAGGGCAGAGGGCAGCTTGAGGGAGCCATGCCAAGGAGGCCATGCCAGGTTAGACAGTGGGAGCGAGAATTCTCCCAGGACCCTGGTGGTTTCTGTGCGTGTTGGCCAGGCCCTTTCCCTGACTTCCTACCCCTCCTGGGGCTCTGTCCCACCAAAAAGGGAAAGAGACAGCTGAGAGCCGACTGTGGGGTTTGGGAAAAGGCTATGTCATCAATTGGCCCAGTGCCTATGATCCATCCGGCTGCTAGAGATTCCCCTCCCCTGGGCAAGTCCCATTTTTTTTTTAAAGGAAAACAAAAACTAGGATTTTTGGGAAGCAATGAGACACCCATCTGAGTCCTACCAACAGAGCTTCTGGCTGAATGGCTTATAGCTCAGCCAATCGCAGAGGCTCAGCATGCTTAAAAGAGCTGGCGGGGAGAGAGGCTGGGAAGAACCCACGGGGAGACCCACAGACTCATAGACGCAAGAGAGAGAGAGAGAGAGACAGGGGGAGAGAGAGAGAAGAGAGACAAAGGCACAGCGGAAGGAGGCAGAGACAGGGCAGGCACAGAGGCGAAGCCAGACAGAGTCTGAGGGAGTGCAGAAGGAGAGGCCAGAGAAGCTGCAGAAGGCACAGGCTGGGAGAGACAAAGATCCAGGAGAGGAGGGTGTGGGACGAGAGTTTGGAGGAGCCAGGCCACTAGGCACTGCTCCTAAGCCTAAGGGCCAAGTTTTCTCCATCTCCTCTGAAGGTCCCCAGCCCCTCTGAAAACTCTGCTCTGACCCTGGCACGAGTCCGAGCCCCCAGGCTGCAGAGAGGAGCTTTCCAAAGCCAGGGCGTGAAGGACTTGGTGCCCAGACGGCCTCAGTCCCTCCCAGCAGCAGCACCAGTGCCATGTCCCGGACGGACCCGCATCCCGGGAGGGGCTTGGCGGGCTGCTGGCTGTGGGGAGTCCAACCCTGCCTGCTGCTCCCCACCGTGCCTGTCTCTGGGCTGGCGCGGCTGCTTCTGCTGCTGCTGGCCTCCCTCCTGCCCTCAGCCCAGCCGGCCAGCCCCCTCCCCCGGGAGGAGGAGATCGTGTTTCCAGAGAAGCTCAACGGTAGTGTCGTGCCTGGTTTGGGCTCCCCTGCCAGGCTGTTGTACCGCTTGCCTGCCTTTGGGGAGACGCTGCTACTAGAGCTGGAGCAGGACCCCGGCGTGCGGGTCGAGGGGCTAACGGTGCAGTACCTGGGCCAGGCACCTGAGCTTCTTGGCGGGGCAGAGCCGGGCACCTACCTCACCGGCACCATCAATGGAGATCCGGAGTCCGTGGCATCTCTGCACTGGGACGGGGGAGCCCTGTTAGGGGTGCTCCAGTATCGAGGGACCGAACTCCACATCCAGCCCCTGGACGGAGGCACCCCTAACTCTGCCGGAGGGCCTGGGGCTCACATCCTACGCCGGAAGAGTCCTGCCAGCGGCCAGGGCCCCATGTGCAACGTCAAGGCTCCTCCCGGGAATCCCAGTCCCAGGCCCCGAAGAGCCAAGGTAGGCAGCCCTGGAGTCTGTGTCCTGCAGTGTCCTCCCGCCATATCTGTCCTACTGACCCCTATTCACTCTCTCTCCACCCACTTCCACTTCTGGCCATTCTGCTTCTTCCCTCCCTTCTGCTTGCCTTTCCTTTTTCCACTAGCTTCCTTTCTTGGGAAGGCTCTGGCTTCTCCCTGGCCCAGCCCTTCCCCTGGCCAGACCACTGATCCGCAGGAGGGTTCCCAGAGGTAGATCAGAGAGTCTGTGCTGGGAATGGTGGCTCCTTCTCCCCACACCACCCCTGCCTGGCCATGGCAGCCTACTGGCACAGTCCCGAGCAATAAGGCTGTCCTAACAGCCCCTTGACCCTGACTCTTTTCTGTGTCCCAAATTTGAGTTTTACCCCCACCATCAGCTAAAGGAGTGAAGTTTGAGGCCCTAGGGATTAGCCTCTGGTTTCTGATGCTGCCTTCAAAATTGTTTTGACAAACTGGAAACTAGGGCAGGAGTGCACAGAGGAGGAGAGGCACCCCATTCCTCTTTCTGGTCAGTCCCCTTCCCACACTGTGGACTGACTGCAAAGCTGCCTGAGGCTCCATCCTTTCCTCTCTCCCACTGCTGGTCTCCCCCCTTCTTCCCTCCCACCCTCCCTCCCTCTCCAGCTCTAATCCAGACCAGACGCTCCCTCTACACCCGCCACGCTGAGATCTGGCCCTGGCCCTAGCTGCTGACTGAATTGTTCCTCCAACCACACAGGGCAGACACGTTGCAGCCCAGCCCTCTAGCCTCAGTCCTGCAGGCCCCCAGCCACACTCAGGCCTAGGGGACTCCAAAGCCCCTCCTAGAGGCAGTTCCAGCTGCTTTTCACCTCTGGGCCCCACACAGCCCTGGGACGTGGCAACTCCTTCTCCCCTTCTCAGAACCAACAGCTGATTTCTCAGAGTTACCACAGAAGCCCTAGGATTTGGGGTTGGGGGGAGGGCCCAACCAAGACCCATCAGGATTCCTGTGGGATATGTGCAACCCAGCTGGCTCTGCTGAGTTCCAGACCCCGGAAGTAAGGGAGGGGAGAAGTGATCCATGGGTCTGGGAGACTATTTCAGGATCCTCCTCTTCTTTTGTCTTCTCAGCGCTTTGCTTCACTGAGTAGATTTGTGGAGACCCTGGTGGTGGCAGATGACAAGATGGCAGCATTTCATGGTGCAGGGCTAAAGCGCTACCTGCTGACAGTTATGGCAGCAGCGGCCAAGGCCTTCAAGCACCCAAGCATCCGCAACCCTGTCAGCTTGGTGGTGACTCGGCTGGTGATTCTCGGGCCAGGCGAGGAAGGGCCCCAAGTGGGGCCCAATGCCGCCCAGACCCTGCGCAGCTTCTGTGCCTGGCAGCGAGGTCTCAACACCCCTGAGGACTCGGACCCTGACCACTTTGACACAGCCATTCTGTTTACCCGTCAGGTGAGGCCCTGATCAGCACCACAGGCCACACACTACACAGCTCCGAGAAGCACCACTGCACAGACTGTGATGTAAATGTTGCCCCTGGAGTTATGCAACATGCTGCCTGGGCCCAGCCACACCACCAGTGCTATCTGGGCCCTGACAGTGCTGGGTACTCAGTGCCCAGGTCCCCTCTAATCTGGATCTCAACCCAATGGACCCTGGTGTCTTGGTTCCTCATGCATCTTCTATGATCCCTCTCCACAGGATCTGTGTGGGGTCTCTACTTGTGACACTCTGGGCATGGCTGATGTGGGCACTGTGTGTGACCCGGCTCGGAGCTGTGCTATTGTGGAGGATGATGGGCTCCAGTCTGCCTTCACTGCTGCTCATGAACTGGGTAAGGTGGGGGTGGAGTCATGGGACATCTGGCTTGGATGAGCAAGGTAGCAGGTGAAGCGAGAGTGAGCTCATCAGGGTGCAAATGGGAATCACAAGGTCTTTCTTCCTCCCCTCTAGGTCTAGATCCAGGGCCATTATCCTTCTCTGTTCTGAATGCAGACAAACGTTTAGATTTTTCTATTAAATGAGATAGTGTATGGAAACCTACTGTGAACTCTGTGTATATATGTGTGAGGAGGGGGGTGGCACAGTTTTGAGAGAGATATTCTTCACAAGAGTCAGGATAGAATGGATGGGTTCAGGGTTGGGAATGTTTGCTACAAGGAAAAGTTGGTAGAGAGGGGTCCTGAGTGTATTTCGGGAGAAGGGGAAACAGGGCAGTGGGGGCTACATATTGAGGAGCCATCAGAGCACCAGAAGGGGATTGGGGACTGGGTGGGATGGGGAATGGATCTGACTGTCCACAGCTGCAACTGGGCTTATGATGGGCCTGCAGCCCCCTGAGGGCACAGGGATGGGACCCTTGGACCCTAACAGAGCCTCTGCTTTCACAGGCCATGTCTTCAACATGCTCCATGACAATTCAAAGCCATGTGTTGGTCTGAATGGGCCTGGGAGCACCTCCCGCCATGTCATGGCTCCTGTGATGGCTCACGTGGATCCCGAGGAGCCCTGGTCCCCCTGCAGTGCTCGCTTCATCACTGACTTCCTGGACAATGGCTATGGTAAGCACATGGCACACCTCTTTCCCTGTGCAGGACTCAGTTCCTGCCCCCCACTGTACTCTCTCTTCTGTTGCATATTTCATGGGCCAAACTGACTTCTTCAAATGTGCTCCCTCTGCAGTGTGGGATGGGGCAAGAAATGCTGCTGTATTTATGTGGTTCCCACTTCCTCCCAGAATAAGTAGCACAGCTGAGGGAGGCAAAATTTGGTTCAATAGAATTAAAACTGACTTTCTAAGGGTCAGAATTGTCCAACACTGGAATGGGTTGGCTGTGAAGGAGGTGACTGCCTTGTCATTTGAGGTGTGCAAGTCCAGCAGCATAACTATTACTGGGCAGAGTTGTTGATGAGAAGCTGAATAGATAGGGAGACTTAGTGCTTTGGGTTCCTATCCTAATTCGTTCTTCGGCTGTGTAGATGTGTGACTGTGTAGGTGTGTGACTGTGAGTAAGTTACTTCACCTCTGTGTAGCTGATGTGTAAAATAGGCGTAATAATGGTAACTACCTCATAAGTGTTGGCCATGATTAAATTAGATAGTGTTGGTCAAGCATTTAACCAATGCTTATCGCATAATAAGCATCTAATAAGTTGTAGCTGCTATTTAAAGCTCCTTCCAGTCCTAGGGTTTGGATTCTAGTATCCATCGGGCCCCAGGGAGCCCAAGCTTTCAGCTGGCAATCAGTTGGCACCCCTCAACCCAGTGCTGACATCATACCCCTGCCTCCTTTCCAGGGCACTGTCTCTTAGACAAGCCAGAGGCTCCCCTGCATCTGCCTGTGACTTTCCCTGGCAAGGACTATGATGCTGACCGACAGTGCCAGCTGACCTTCGGGCCTGACTCACGCCATTGTCCGCAGCTGCCGCCACCCTGTGCTGCCCTCTGGTGTTCTGGCCATCTCAATGGCCACGCCATGTGCCAGACCAAACATTCACCCTGGGCCGATGGCACCCCCTGTGGGCCTGCACAGGCTTGCATGGGTGGCCGATGCCTCCACATGGACCAGCTCCAGGACTTCAATGTGAGATCCCAGGGCAGGGGTGGGTCAGAGGGCCTGAGGGAGTAGGGACTGGCCCTTAGTCCAGGAGAGAGTATATTTATCCCACCTTTCCGTTCTGTGCTTCTGCAGATCCCACAGGCTGGTGGCTGGGGTCCCTGGGGATCATGGGGCGACTGCTCTCGGAGCTGTGGGGGTGGTGTCCAGTTCTCCTCCCGGGACTGCACGCGGCCCATCCCCCGAAATGGTGGCAAATACTGTGAGGGCCGGCGAACCCGCTTCCGTTCCTGCAATACCCAGGACTGCCCAACTGGCTCAGGTGAGGAGCGGGAGGCACAGGAGGCGCTGAGAGGGATTGGTAGAGTGGGAAGGATTGTCGCTTGAGTGCAGGGACCAAGGAGGTGTTGACTGTCCTTGCTGCTGAGAGGAGTGACTCTACCCTTCAAGAACATTCCCTGGCAGTTTGGGGGGCAGAGAGGTGCCATGCTGTCTGGAGGGCTGAGGGGTGAGGTGGAGCAGCTGGTGGGGCAGTGTGAGGAGAGAGGGGCTCTGACTGTCCATTTTACCGCTACAGCATTGACCTTCCGTGAAGAGCAGTGTGCTGCCTACAACCACCGCACTGACCTCTTCAAGAGCTTCCCAGGGCCCATGGACTGGGTCCCTCGCTATGCGGGTGTGGCCCCCCGGGACCAGTGCAAGCTCACCTGCCAGGCCCAGGCGCTGGGCTACTATTATGTGCTGGAGCCACGGGTGAGGACCAGGATGCCCCCACGCCCTGGCTGTGCTCATACACTCCCCAACAGTCCCTCTGCTTTCTGATGGCAAAGATCCTCCAAAACAGCACTGTTGCTGGCATTCCCACAGCCAGGCCAGGCCAGCCCAGGGGGCCACTCAGACTTATACGTCCATGGGTATTTGGAAAGCCTGTCAACCCCGGACTCTGGAGAAGTTGCCAATTGCGCCACTCTTATCTGCCCATATCCCTCGGTTTCTTTTCCTCTCTCTCCCTATCTTCTAGTGCTCTGTCTTACTTCCAGTGAGAAGGGAAGTATGTGGCCTTTGGGACAAGTCTTCAACCCCTTTTCCGTGGGCTCCTCTGTCAAATTACACTGGTTGTCTCATTCAGCTCATGCATGGCCCGCCCCTCACTGGACAGGCCTGTTGGAGACACTGATGTCCCTGTACTCCCTCCCTGTGCTGGGTGGTAGCTGGAAGGCTGAAGAAGGAAGAACAAGCTCCAGCAGTTTTGCTCCCACACCCCTACCCTGGGGAGAATTCCTACACGTTGGCCGCCCTCTAGCGTCCGTCTGGGGTGCTACCATCAAGGTTTAGGACTTGGTGTTAAGACTCAGACAGACCTGATTCTCGTTTTGGCTCCTCCACTTGCCAGCCGGGTACCTTTGGGCAAGTTCCTTAATCTTTCTAAACCTCAGTGTCCCATCTCTAGAAACCTCAAATAGTGGTTGTGAGATTTATATTCACGTTTGTAAAGCACTTAGCACAGTGGCTGACTCACAATGAGTGCCCTGGAAATGGCAGCTTTTATCAGTATTAGTGTCATTATGATTATCATCCCTTACTGTCTGGGGCTCACTCCACACACTCCATCCGCATCCCCTCTTTCACCCAACTTTCCTGACATCCTCTCCCTAATGGGATATACATCTTGTTGGGTTTACTAGCCCCTCTTGACTTAGGAAGAGCCCTTCGCATCACTCCTTCTCTTCTCCTCAGGTGGTAGACGGGACCCCCTGTTCCCCGGATAGCTCCTCAGTCTGTGTCCAGGGCCGCTGCATCCATGCTGGCTGTGATCGTGTCATTGGCTCCAAAAAGAAGTTTGACAAGTGCATGGTGTGCGGTGGGGATGGTTCTAGCTGCAGCAAACAGTCTGGCTCCTTCAGAAAATTCAGGTTCATTCACTATTTGTTTCCTCCTCCCACCTTCCTGGACACTGTTCTGGGCCCTGGGGATACAGAAATGAACTCAACGCTGTTTGTCCTCTCAGAGAGCTTACAGTCTGGGGGGGACATAGACAAATAAGCAAGTTCAGCACAGTGTCCCACCTGTTCAACAGGTGTCAGCCTGGGCTGCTGCAGGGCCCTTGTGGGTATCAGGGAAGGTTCCCCTGGAGGTGACCTCCCTCCTGGAGAGATAATAGGAACTGGACAGGCACAAGGAGGTGGGCTTAGAAGGGCATCTCAATAAGGAGGAGGTATAAAGGCCTAGAGAGGAGAAGAAGGCGGGCACATGTGCATGTAGCTCAGATCTAGGCTGGACAGCTCACATAGGTCTGGGGAGACAACCCTCTACACAACACGTATACACACATACAATCATACAAACACAGCTCAGAAAGGCTGAGGAGACTCAGGAAGATGCTGAGCCCCCTCTACTCCTTCCATACAGGTACGGATACAACAATGTGGTCACTATTCCTGCGGGGGCCACCCACATCCTTGTCCGGCAGCAGGGGACCCCTGGTCTCCGAAACCTCTACCTGGCCCTGAAGCTCCCAGATGGCTCCTATGCCCTCAATGGTGAATACACGCTGATGCCCTCCCCGACAGATGTGGTACTGCCTGGAGCAGTCAGCTTGCGCTACAGCGGCGCCACTGCGGCCTCTGAGACACTGTCAGGCCATGGGCCACTGGCCCAGCCCTTGACACTGCAGGTCCTGGTGGCTGGCAACCCCCAGAACGCACGCCTCCGATACAGCTTCTTTGTGCCCCGGCCAGCCCCTTCAACGCCACGCCCCACTCCCCAGGACTGGCTGCACCGCAAGGCACAGATTCTGGAGATCCTCCGGCAGCGCCCCTGGGCGGGCAGGAAATAACCTCACCATCCCGGCTGCCCTTTCTGGGCACCGGGGCCTCGGACTTAGCTGGGAGAAAGAGGGGGCTTCTCCAGCTGCCTCATGCTAAGACACAGTGCGGGGAGGGACTGTGAGGGTGACTCCGCCCCTCCTCTCTGTCCTAATGCGCAGGCTGGCCCTGCCCTCGTTTCCTGCCCTGGAAGGCAGTGATGGGTGGTGGATGGAAGGGGCTGGGAGACAGTCTTCTATCTAAACTGCCCCCTCTGCCCTGCTGGTCACAGGAGGGAGGGGGAAGGCAGGGTGGGCTCCAGTTGTATTTATTTAGTATTTATTCACTTTTATTTAGCACCAGGGAAGGGAATGAGGGCTAGGGTCCTGGGGAAACTGATCCCATCCCTCATAGCCCTCACCCTGGCTAGGAAATCCAGGGTGGTAATGATAGGCAGAAAGTGATCTGTGTGTGTCTGTGTATGAGAATGTGTGTGTGTGTGTGTGTTTATGTATGAGGTACATCCTGCCCTGCTTTCCTCTCCCTGAATTTTGTTTTCTGGGAAAGGAAGAGTCAAGTGTAGGATAAGCCTTCAGGGAGTAAGGGATTATCATATTTTTAAAATATAAATTGAATTCTGCTATTTATGTTCTCCTTTTGGAGTCAGAGCTGTGGGTTGCACCCTGGCTCCACATCTCTGAACATTTGTTTTCTCATTTGCCAAAAATAATACCTCCCTTGGAAATTTGTTGTGAGGATTAAATAATGTAAATAAAGAACTAGTACAATGCCTTGCACTTGATAAGTGCTCAACAGATGGCAGCTGCTGTTAGTTATTGTCATCACCTTTCTGTCCACCTCCACTGCCCATGGGGTTTGCAACACACTTGAAGGTGGAAAAGATCCACATCAGTGGTGCCTGCCCTTACCCCAGGCTCAGTTCCTTCGGTTGGTAGAACCTATCATGGCTTCTGCGGGATTGTCAGAAAAGGATGATTCTGTCCCTGATCTCTGGAGACTCCTGATCATGGAGGCTCCTGAGACATGATAAACACTTGGCTACAGCACAACTGATAAGAGCTTGAAGGTGCAGAGATGACAAGAACAACTGCTCCAACACAAACAAGCAGCTTAGTAGTGAGAGCTTAGTGGTAGTCGACGGCTCTGGGGGAGCTGCTGTGGTAGGAAGATCACTCAAGTGGGAGCCACTGGGTCTGAATTTGAGTTGGGGTTCAGCATCTTATTAGCTAGTAGTGTTAGGAAGTCACTGATGCTGAGCCTTAGGTTGCTCATATGTGCAAGAGGGCTAATAATGCCTGTTCCCACAGGGTATTCTGGGAACAAATGTTACAATATTTTCAAAATAGTAAAGGCTGTGTCCATGGGACGAGTTACCCGTATGGCAACTGAGTGCCTGGGACAGGATTCCCAGAATCAGCCAGTGCAAACCCAGCAGAATTCTTTGAAGATGTGAGATTAGCATGGATGTTTTTTTGTTTTTTGTTTTTTGGGTTTTTTTGTTGAGGAAGCTTTGCCCTGAGCTAAATCCATTGCCAATCTTCCTCTTTTTGTATGTGAGTTGCCACAGCGTGGCCACTGACAGATGAGTGGTGTAGGTCCACACCCAGGAACCGAACCTGGGCCCCAGAGGTGGGGTGTGCCAGACTTAACCCGTAGGCCACTGGGGCTGGCCCTAGAATGGAATTTAATAAGAGGAACAGGACACAGTTTGGTAGGGGATAGTCAGGAGGGTAGGAAGAATGGAGAAGGATCAGAGGTGAGGGGGAGCCAGATGTTCAATGGTGGCAGAACACCTGAAGGCCAGTCCAGTACTAGAAACAGGTCTGCTTTTCCTTATGAGCAGGTGACTTTGCTTAAGAAAGAACTTGGGCAGCCCTGAGTGTGTCATGGAGGGAAAGGGGTTGGGAAAGCGGAGCAGGTGAACCCTGCAAGAATTTAGAGTCTTGAGTGGCAGTTCCGGGACTGCTAGGGACTGGGGAAGGTACTGAATGTGGAGGTGAGAGACGAACAAGGAGGTAAAGAAGCCCCTGAGGTGGGAGTGGCAGAGGGGAGAGTAGGGGAACTAGTGGTGCTTCACTCTGCCATTGCAGAACCTGGCTGGGCTCCCAAACACTGCTTGGGATGTGGAGCTGGAACTAGGGGGTTGAGGCAGGACATGGATGTTGTGGCGGTTCTATGTGTTGTGTTTGCTGGGGCTGGGCTTTGCTGATCAAGTTCTGCACCAGGCAGTGCCTTACTCACTGCCCTGTATTCTACGCCACCCAGCACGGTGCCTACTCCCGCAGCAGCAACGAGAACAAGGCTGTCCCCCTCTCCTTTCTCCGGGATGCATGGCCACCACTGCTGTGCTTGGCCCTGGCCCTTCCTCCTGTCCTCCTACCAACAAGGCTGGAGGGGGTAGAAACAGGAGAGTAGGACAAGGCCAGAGTGATCTTCAACTGTTTCATCTAGTTAAGAAAACTGGACCACCAATAACATGTTTACAGACCTTAATTCTATGAACTCATGGTCTGGTAAGCAGAGCTCTGTGCTAAGTAGATGTAAGGTACAAACACAAACAACATATGACCAAAGAAGCTCATTGTGTTTCCGGGGGAGGTTGCATACTATACCTCCACTGAGAGGAACAGTGGGATAGTACAAAGAACTGTATGATAAGGGCAAAATGAACCAGGCAGAGACCGAGTCTCGGGTTAATGGGCTATGAGGGTTCTGGAGGGTGAGTCTTGGGCTGGGCCCTGAGGAACAGGTCATCGTGATAGCCCTTCTTACCTTTCCTTAGTGCTCGTGGTAATTCACACTTTGTATGTCACTTTCATAAGCGTTATTTTAAGAGGAAGCTCTTTATTCACTGAGTAGCATTCTGACTAACCTAAAGAAGTTTTTCCCAGAAAGGGACTGAGCTTAGAGGCCACATCTGTGATTGGGTGGGTGGGTGGGTGGGTGGAGGCATACTGGAAGTAGGAGGAGAGAAAGAACTAGCTCCTCAAAGAGAAGTGATGGGCATCCTGGCTCCCAATCCTGGGCAAGGCCTGACCCGTTTTAGGAATGTTCTTCCCCATATCACTCTTCCCAGGCCCAGGCTCTAGGCTCTGCCTAATATCCTGAAGTCAGGGGTCCAATAAGTTCTTGCTATGGATGTGGGGAGTGCATACTTCCCTACAAGAGCCAGGATGAGCTCTGTCTCCCCTGTCTCCCCAGTCTGCCTACTTATTGCTGAGCTGGGGTGTGGTGTACCAGCAGGAGGAGAAGGAAGGAGGCACTGAGACAGTTCAAGTATCTGCTCTGGTCTTAGAGGCAAAAAGAGGGAAAAATGATGAGCTGGAGAAAGATGAACCAGTGACTGCCGAGGGAGTGAGTGCCCTGTCCCTGGAGAAGTTCAAGTAGAGTTTAGACTACCTTTTTATGGGATGGCAAGTGTTGTGCATGTGTATTTGAAGTAGGGGAGGAGGTTGAAGCAACAACTGTGAGTTGGGCCAATTTCTTTAAGGTCTCTCTGCCTCTGAGATTCTGTGACTCTGTGGTTAGAGCAGAGGAAATCTGGGCATTTGTCCAACCACTATTTTGGCGGTGGGGGTGGGAGAGCCAGGGTTTCTGAAGTGTGTTGTGGAATGGGCTACTCATTTACACTTCTACTCCATCGCTAGCCCCACTCCTTTAATCTCCATATAGTGTTACGGTATTTTGTTTTCTAAAATAGCAGATTGACAGTAAGTGACAAAATCAGCATCTCATTGGTCAGGGCTTGTGGGGGAGGGAAGAAAATGGAATTCAATGTATTAACATTTTATTGGCTAAGAGGTTGCTTCTGAACCAATTGAATACCTTCCCCATTGACTGTTGCTGGGGGGAAGCCAAAATCATTGGCAGCAAGGGTAACCAGTTGACAGCTGGGAGAAACCACCAGTTCTAAAAATGCTCAGAAAGAGGCGGGTGAGGGGAAGGAGGGAGCAGTAATACTGAACAATTTCCCCAGGCAGGACCTTATATGGGGACAGGCCCAGAGTACTTAAGTAGCCTGAGGAAGGAAAGGGAGAGGAGGAAGTAGATTTAAGGCATCCCCCACAGTCTTTGGGAAACTAGCAACAGGCCCTACAAACCCAGTAACATACAAGTACACACACAGTGACACACGTTGACATATACATGTCCAACTTCATAGAGATACGCTAGCACATTGATGATGTAGATGCAAATAAGCATTGAGAAGCTAAGAATTTTGGCCTGAAAATTAGTCTGAGGAAAATATATTAATTGACCTAATTTCCCAATTAGAATTGACTGTTTATTCCATTTATTTGTTTAATAAATAAGCCATTAGGTTACAAATTGGAATCAAATCACACTCTCACAGCATCTGGAAAGGACACAGATTTTCAGAGTCAGACTGAATCTAAGCTTTGCTACTTACATGTAATGTGGTCTTAAATTACTTGATCTCTGTGAGCTTCAGTTTCTTTATCTGTAAAATGGGTATATTACTACCTGCCTTATGAGAGGCTGTCACAACTTAAGAATATAATGATGTATATAAAGAATACTTGGCCCTATGTCTGGCTTCTAGTAAGTGTTGACACATGCTGATTCTCTTTTTCTCAAATCTCTTCCTTTATCCCGTTCCCACTCTTGCATTAGCATGAGAAAATAATTATACCAAGGAACAGTCTAGGTCAGATCTAAGATGGGCTATTTTGTAGAGTCTGTGCAAAAGGTCTGGATTACATTCAGGGGATGATAAAAGGGAAGACATGGTCCCTGTCCTCTGAGAGTTCACAGTCTGGTGGCTGAGACAGGCTTACCTTACAAAAATTCCAGACCTGTGTGGAGCTGGCCCGGTGGCACAGCGGTTGAGTTTGCACGTTCCGCTTCGGTGGCGCGGGGTTCACTGGTTCGGATCCTGGGTGTGGACCTACACAACGCTTGTCAGGCCATGCTGTGGCAGGCGTCTCATATATAAAAAAGTAGACGAAGATGGGCATGGATGTTAGCTCAGGGCCAATCTTCCTCAGCA